TCTGCGGACAAGCTGTCCCCTCGCGCTGCTCCCTGCGTCTTCCTGGGGTTCCCCCCCGATGCCCCTGGGTGGCAGTTCTACCACCCCACCTCTCGACGTGTTCTGTCCTCCCAGGACGTCACGTTCGACGAGTCGGTACCCTACTACCGCCTCTTCCCCTACCGCACTCCGTCCCTCCCCCCACCCCCGCTCTTCTTGGTCCCAGGCCCCCCCCCGGTAGTCCCCCTCCCCCCTCAGGGTCCTGCCCCTTCAGGTGTGTCCCAGGTAGACGCGGTCGAGCCTGTCGAGATCACTGGGGACTCTGGTGTTGCTGCTGGTGCTGAGCCTAGGGGTGCTGAGCCTGGGGGTGCTGAGCCTGGGGGTGCTGAGCCTGGGGGTGCTGAGCCTGGGGGTGCTGAGCCTGGGGGTGCTGTGCCTGGGGGTGCTGAGCCTGGGGGTGCTGAGCCTGGGGGTACTGAGCCTGGGGGTGCTGAGCCTGGGGGTGCTTCGTCTCGCCGGGAGCCACTCTCCCCACCGGAGCTGCGTGAGTGGTTTGCCAGGCGCTGGAGGCGTGCTGCTGGTGCTGGTGGTTCTTCGGCTGCAGAGGGTACTGCTGTCGCGCGTCCCGACGGTGCTCGTCCTTTGGGTGTTGGAGCTGCTGGGTCTGAGAGTTCTCCTGGAGCTGGTACTGCTGAGGGTGTTGTCGCTGAGCCTGCCGCTGGCGGTCCGCCTGCGGGTACTCCTGGTGCTGCTTCTGGGGCCTCTGGTGGTGCTGCTGGAGGTGCTGCTGGAGTGGGTGCTCCGGCCGGGGCTGCTGGCGCTGTTCCAGCTGTTTCTAGCGTCGCCGCGCGGCCCCGACCTTACTTCGTTCCGCTCCTTCAGCAGGTTCTTGGTCTTACACCTTCTCCTCCTCCCGTAGAGGGTCCGCAGCCTGTCCAGTCACAGCCACAGCTACAGCCTGCCTCCCCTTTGCCTGCTTCTTCTCCCTACGCTGGTCCGACTGGAGGTCTTACTGAGCGTCGTGAGCCTGCGTCTCGTCCTGCGTCGTCTGTTCGTCCTGCGCGCGCTAGTGGTCGCGGTTCGCGTCAGCGTCCTCCTCCTGTCCCTGGCACGCTCCGGATGTCTTTGCGTCCGTCCACTGCTCCTCTGCGTGCCCCTTTGCCTTCTCCTCCTGCTTCCTCTCTTCCTGCTCTTGCCGACCCGGAGTCGGACTCGCTTCGTGCTGCCAGTCTTACTGTCACGCGTCTCCTTGCTACTGCTGTCACTGACCCTTCCTTCGAGTCGTCTGCTGCGTCTGCCCTTGTCACTGAGCTTGTCGACTTTGCTGCGCGCTGTCGTCTCGACTACGCTGCTCGTCTTGTCACTGAGTCTGAGTCCGCCTGTCCTCCGTCCGTCGGGGGTGAGTGTGCCCTTGGCACGGACCTCCTTGAGGACAGGCAGGAGGAGTTCCAGTGTCTGGCTGCCGCTTCACCTCGTCTCGCGTCTGTACTGCTAGCCCCTGAGGGAGACCCGGATGCACCAGACATCCCGACTCCGCGCTCTTACGCGGAGGCGATAGAGGGTCCCTACTCCTCTCAGTGGCAGGCAGCTATGGATGCAGAGATGGCTTCCTGGAAGTCCACAGGCACCTACGTTGACGCTGTACCCCCTCCTGGGGCGAACATCGTCAGTGGCATGTGGATTTTCAGGGTGAAGCGGCCGCCGGGTTCTCCGCCTGTCTTCAAGGCGCGCTACGTGGCTCGTGGCTTCAGTCAGCGGCAGGGGGTTGACTACTTCCAGACCTTCTCCCCCACCCCGAAGATGACCACTCTTCGGGTTCTGCTGCACGTTGCTGCTCACCGTGACTATGAGCTGCACTCTCTCGACTTCAGCACAGCTTTCTTGCAGGGCAGCCTGCACGAGGAGATCTGGCTGCGCCGCCCACCTGGCTTCACTGGGTCTTTCCCTCCTGGTACCCAGTGGAGTCTCCGGCGTCCAGTCTACGGTCTCCGCCAGGCGCCACGTGAGTGGCACGACACACTGAGGACTACGCTCGCGGCACTTGGGTTTGCTCCTTCTACTGCCGACCCGTCGCTGTTTCTGCGCACCGACACCTCTCTGCCGCCGTTCTACATCCTCGTGTACGTCGACGACTTGGTCTTTGCCACAGCTGACACTGCTGGACTCGCCTACGTGAAGTCTGAGCTGCAGAAGAGACACACGTGCACTGACCTGGGTGAACTGCGCAGCTACCTTGGCTTGCAGATCACCCGGGATAGAGCACGCCGCACCATTACCCTGACTCAGTCACACATGGTGCAGCAGGTCCTTCAGCGCTTCGGCTTCACGTACTCCTCGCCTCAGGCCACTCCTCTGCCTACTCGCCACTTACTCTCAGCTCTGCCTTCGGATGAGTCCGTAGAGTCGAGTGGCCCGTTTGCAGAGCTTGTTGGCTGCCTCATGTACCTGATGACCTGCACACGACCTGACCTCGCATACCCTCTTAGCATTCTTGCACGCTTTGTTGCTCCTGGGAGACACCGACCAGAGCACATGGCTGCAGCAAAGAGGGTGTTGCGCTACTTGTGCAGTACGTCGGGCATGGGGCTAGTGCTTGGAGGGCGCGGTCCAGTGGTCCTCACTGGGCACGCAGACGCTTCTTGGGCTGACGACCAGGCTACGCAGCGGTCGTCACAGGGTTACTCCTTCAGCCTTGGTTCCGGCTCTGTCTCGTGGCGGGCTACCCGCTCGTCTTCTGTTCTCGGCTCCAGTTGTGAGGCTGAGATCTACGCTGGGGCTATGGCTGCACAGGAGTTACGCTGGCTCACCTACCTGCTGACCGACCTTGGAGAGCCGCCTCGTTGTCCTCCAGTCCTGTACGTAGACAACAAGGCCATGCTGGCCTTGTGTCGAGAGCAGCGACTGGAGCACAGAACGAAGCACATTGCTCTCCGCTACTTTCTTGCTCGTGAGCTACAGCAGCGTGGACAGTTGCGACTTGCGTACGTGGCCTCTGAGGCCAACACTGCTGATGTCTTCACCAAGGCACTTGCGCCTTGTGATCATCAGCGTTGTTGCACGCAGTTGGGTCTTGTGCCTGTGTTGCCTCACTTGCTCTGCTCTTGACCTTGCTTGTACCTTCACCTATATATACTCTTGCTCTTGCTTGCTTGACTCTTGTATATTTCTATATATGATCTTGCATGTGAACTGGCCTTCTGGCCTTTGAACTTGTGCTCGGAATGCGTGGTGACTTTGTGATCCACCCTGAGCTTTGCTTTGCTTTGCTTGACTAGTCTTGTGACCCCTTGTTCTCCCCCACTTTGCCTATGGGGGTGTGTCAGAACATATAGCTTACTTATTTCTGTAGGCTATAGTGGGGTATCCCATAGGGGGTACAATCCAATTAGGGTTTCCTATTTGTACCCACTTCTTTTTCATAGTCATCCACTTCTCGTTCGTACTTTCTCAAAAAATAACAGTAGTAGTAGAAATAAAAACCCGGCAGTGAAAACAGCAGGCTCACCGATAAAGAAGCCAGCGTCGGTGATGCATTTGGTTGGCGCCCAAGGAAAGGCTGAGATGGGAGTGGGGCAGAGGAGAGCGAAGAGATTCACCAATAGGCACTCACCGATGAAGAAGCCAGCGTCGGCGATGCATTTGGTTGGCGCCCAGGGGAAGGCGGCAGCGATGCGATCGCAGAGAGACACGACTGCTTGGCCGCCCGCTGAGCTGCCCGACAGGAGAATCTGCGCTGCCGATGTTATTCCCCCCTTAGCTTTCAGATCTGATTGCGTTTTGGGCGGTGGGTCAAGGGGGAAAGGTGGAAACAAGCAACAGGGAGAGAGACAAAAAGGGGGGACGGGGGTGGGAAGAGGGAAGGAGGTTACAGAGTGAGGAGGTTTTATACTCTCATCCTGCCCCACACACTGTAACCTCCTGCCCCACAGGGAAGGAGGTTACAGAGTGAGGAGATATGAGGCAAACACACTCCGTGTTGGTTTTTGAGAATTCTCAACTGTTGAGGCGCCTCAAAAGGAGATATGAGGCAAACACACTCCGTGTGATGGGGCAGATTTTATACTTCCTTTTTCCACTCTCATCCTGCCCCACACACTCCTGTCACTCTCACACCTCATAACCACTCACTCCAAAACCACCTGACCATACAAGGCAAACAGGGTTCCTTCCCCACTCTTGAGGCGCCTCAAAAGTCAAAACCATCTGACCATATGAGACAAAAAAGGTTCCGTCCCTTCCCCGCTCACTCACCCTCTATCACCGCTCGAACGATGTTCCTGCCATCCAGGTAAAGTACCGTGCCATTGCTGTCAGCCTCAAGCCTCCCTGCCGTGCCCGAGTAGCCGCAACCATCGCAGTAGATGAGACGAACGAGGTTCCAGTTGTAGAAAGGCGGGTTGATGGTGCTGTTGCTGCTGAGAATGCCGTTGAAAGGGGGACGGAGAGCCTGCACGGGGGAGGGGGGAGGGGGAATGGGGGAGGGGGAATGGGGGAGGGGGGAACGGGGGAATGGGGAGGGCGGGGAGGGAAGGGTGGAGGGGTAGGGGGTCGACTGAGTCAAAACGCTCAAACGAGGCATCACTGAGTCATTCTGAACAAGATAAGTTTTGAAGTCGACTCAAAAACAGACTCATCACACGCGACGGGGAGGGGGGAGAAGAAGAAAAGGCTCAAGCGTGGTAGCGCTGACTTTTGAGAATTCTCAAAACAGAAGAAGAAAAGGCTCAAGCGTGGTATCACTGAGTCATCCTGAACCGAAGTACGCATCGGGCCCCACAAGTACCGGGGGGGTCGACACACACACACACACACACACACACACACACACACACACACACACACACACACACACACACACACACACACACACACACACATCTCGATTTAAGTGTGTTCCACGTTATTGTATAGGGTCGGTAGGATACAGCGTGCTGGTCCCGTAAAGCGCCTTGAGTGAGGTGAGGGGGGATTGAAGGGTAGATTGAAAGAGGGGGGGCTATAAGGGCGAGGGAGAGGCATACCGCGTTGGGTTCAGGGTCGGTAGGATACAGCGTGCTGGTCCCGTAAAGCGTCTTGCTCCTCGCCACGCACTGGGCGGCAGTGCCACACCACCCGCCGCCCGGCAGGTAGATGAGCCACATGTTCTTGCCGCCGCCCGTGCCCGCCCGGAAATAATACCCTGGGGGGCTGGGAAGGGAACGGGGGGTGTGGATGGGGAGTGAGGTTAGTGAGAATGAAGGGAAGAGGGGAGGGGGAACTGGGGAGAGAGAATAGGGGAGGGGGAATAGGGGAGAGGGAATAGGTGAGTGGGAACAAAGGAGTGAGAATAGGGGAGAGGGGCGTTGGGAGGGGAGAGGAGAGGGAGGAGGTGGGGTTGCGCCGTGGACGATTTTTGAGTCGACTAAAAAATCGACTTATCACACACGGCTTATATGGTGGGAGGAGAGAGGAGAGGGAGGAGTTGGGGCTGCACCGCAGACATGGACGTTTGCATGTTGAGACGTCAGTTACAACTGAGGATGTATCTACCTCCTCCCTCCCTCCTCCCTCCTCCCTCCTCCCTCCCCTCCTTCGCGTCGCCTGCAGAACGAGTCGCCCCCGCTCCCCATCCCTCCGCTCCCCATTCCCCCGCTCCCCATCCCTCCGCTCCCCATCCCCCCGCTCCCCATCCCTCCGCTCCCCATCCCTCCGCTCCCCATCCCTCCGCTCCCCATTCCCCCGCTCCCCATCCCTCCGCTCCCCATCCCCCCGCTCCCCATCCCTCCGCTCCCCATCCCTCCGCTCCCCATCCCTCCGCTCCCCATTCCCCCGCTCCCCATCCCTCCGCTCCCCATCCCTCCGCTCCCCATCCCCTCCGCTCCCCATCCCTCCGCTCCCCATCCCTGCGCTCCCCATCCCTGCGCACCCCATCCCTCCGCTCCCCATCCCTCCGCTCCCCATCCCTCCGCTCCCCATCCCTCCGCTCCCCATCCCTGCGCTCCCCATCCCTGCGCTCCCCATCCCTCCGCTCCCCATCTCTCCGCTCCCCATCCCTCCGCTCCCCATCCCTCCGCTCCCCATCCCTCCGCTCCCCATCCCTCCGCTCCCCATCCCTCCGCTCCCCATCCCTCCGCTCCCCATCCCTGCGCTCCCCATCCCTCCGCTCCCCATCCCTCCGCTCCCCATCTCTCCGCTCCCCATCCCTCCGCTCCCCATCCCTCCGCTCCCCATCCCTCCGCTCCCCATCCCTCCGCTCCCCATCCCCTGCGCTCCCCATCCCCATCTCTCCACACCCACGACAGCTATTACTCGCCTGCAGAACGCGACGCGGCTGCTCCAGAGTTCCGCCAACGACCCCTGCTTTCCTTCCGCCTTGGCCTCCACTCTTTCCCTGCTTTTTCCCCTCGCACAAACTCCTCCCAGCAAAACGATTTGCTTTGCTTCACTTTCTTCCCCTGCACTGCCCTGCCCCTTTTCCTCCCCCCCCCCTTTCCCCCCGTCCCACTTCCTCCCCCTCCTTCCTTCCTCTCCCCCATCCCTTCTCCCCGCCCTCTTTCCCTTCCTCCTTGTATCTCGAATACCTTGTGAAATAAGTTTGGTTTTCACCAATCTTATTTCACATTACCTTCCGTCGAAGCATTCACCATCTTGGGAGTCCAAAGACCGAATTGCGTCGATTCTGAGAATTCTCACAAATAACTTCCCAAGCTATCTTCCGTCAATGCGGACCAAATTGCTCCGCTTTTTCCACTCCCTCACCCCCTCTCTCCCACTCTTCGCCTCCCTCTCCCCCCACCCCCCTTCATTTTCTCTCCCCTTCTCCCTTTTTGTCTCCCGCCTTACCTCCCGTCGAGGCATTTCGCGTCAAACGAGTTATTCGCCAGGAGTACGAGCCGCGGCGCGGCCAGCGGCAACGGCGGCGGAGGGGAATTTCCCGCCAGTAGCGACAGCAGGTACTGCAGAAACGCCCAGACGCCGCTAAAATCAAATTTCCACGCGGCTTTATTTCTATGAGTACCAATCCGTCCGTTGGACGGTTTAACGGGTGACCGCCGAGAGTGGATCGTGTTTAGTCGACTGCTGTTCCCGGTAAAAGCATGTCTTTTAAAAGCAGTACCGTTTTTCGTTGTAGTGCGTGCTCGTAACTTGTTAATCGTATTCATTATCTCTGGTCGGCACAGCGCGTGCTGGCTGTGGTCGCTGTAGGCGCGCCGCGAAGCGGATAGCGTCAGGAATCATCAATTCGAGATTCAAAGCCCAAGTCGCTACCACGAAAAGATCTTACTCCCTAAGTGCGAAGATTCTAGGAACATTGTCGCTGCAGGTACAATACACAGTACTAGTGTGCGCACGTGATCATGTCGTGCTGGTTGTGTTGGATTCGAACATGGCAATTCAGCAGCTCGCGCAGCGCGCTTGTTCTTGTTGGGATGGGGCGTATTTGGGGCTCCATGGAACGACCTAACTTGAGGCTCGGAGGACACTAACCTGAGATAGCGTTTTGTAACAGAGGTACGGAACATCAACAGTAGCCTCGTACACAGAACACCTGCTACTGCCCAACGAGGGCCCAGATGTTCCGTACAGAGGTACTCTGGGCCCTCGTTGGGCAGGAACGCTTCGCTGGAGATCCGACGACGGCCCCAAAGCACCCTCAGAGGTTCCGAACCACCGCAGGGTTGTAGGTTCGGTGGGTTCCACCGACTCCCAAATTCTTGCCGTGTAGGTTTTGGACACCTCCGCTCCGCCCATCTCTCCTCCACCCATTCGTTCCAGTTCGCTACCCGGGTTTACGTAAACCGGGTTTACGTAAACCCGACTCAGATGGCACTTGGGGTGTGTTCCTGACTCGTGTCAGACTTCAGGTCTTCCCGGGAGACCCGAAGGTTTAGGTCAAACTTCCTGTCAAACTTCGTGTCTTCCGAAAACAGAGGCGAAATTCGGCAGAAAGACCCGAAGTTGGTCTCGGATGACCCAAAGTAGGGCCAGCTTCGTGTCATCCCCGGAAGACCGAAAGTTTGACGCGAGCCAGGAATACACCCCAAGGAAGTTTGGCCTCAAAATAGCCTTCCTGAATGGGAGGCGAGGTCGTGGAAATTAGGCTTGTACGCGATTCAGAACAGACCCAGGTCAGACTGTACTTCCTTCTAATCTGCATAATGTATAGCTAAAAGGGTCGTAACTGCGGAGATCAATCCTACAACGGTAGTGAGCTAGACTACGGGGTTGGCACGAACTACTAGAGGTGATCTTAGATTTGCTTGGTTCCTTAGTGCTTGCACATTCACGGGAGAAATTGGCTAGAGTTTTCACTAGCAAAGTTGGAATTCCAGAATCATTGAAGAAGCAATCACAACAATGACTACATCAGGCACCTAGCAACCCTGCAGCTAGTCTCGTCGACCGCCAGCGCAGCTCGGTCGACCGCCTGCCAGCATTGCGTAGAGGAGCCGAGCCAGCACTGCAGAAGGGCGACCTGCCAACAAAGCAGGTCGACGGCGTGCCCCGTAGAACACAGCAGTGCGCGCGCTCGCAGGTGTGCGCAGACGATTGGCCAGACTTGTCTCGTTGGGCATCCGTCGGCTGTTGTCTGCGCCTGACGAGCCACATCGACTTCGGGATACCAGTCCGAAGTCGCCTGTGCCATCGCGATCTCGACGACCTTCGCGAGCCTTCGCAGAACTCGTCGAGCAGTTTACCCGGTCGACCTGGTCGACCCCTGGTGCTGTGGTCGACCCCCAGGTGCCTCCGGTCGACCACTGGGCCCCTCTGGTCGACCACAACTCCCGTCGAGCTACCCCCTGGTCGATGGGCCCCTTCCGTTGACCATAACTGCTCTGTCGACCTCCCGGTCGAACTGTAGGTCGACGGACTGCTTCGTCGACCTCCCGGACGGCCCACTCGTCGCACAGACCAGTCAGTTGCAGCTGTCGAGCTCCTTGGTCGACAGCAACACCACAGCCGTCCGCTGCAGCTCGACGTAACCTGTTGAGCAGCTATCCCACTGTGAACAGTCGGCTGCTACTCCCGTGCATCCGACCAAGTCGTCGGCGTTGCCCAAGCGAGGGCGGGGCCAACACTCCATTCATGTTAACACTCCCCTGCCGCGCTCACGCTCGGGCCTCCAGCCCACACGATAGTACTCCACGGAGTAAACTCGTCCTCGGCGTGCACCCCACACACAGCACGCCGTCACCGCACCAGCCGTGCAGAAGGGCACGGCACCTGCTGCTGCACCTCGTCGTCGCCGTCGCCGACGTCGTCCAGGCGAACTTGGCCGATGGCGACAGAGCACCGCTTGAAAGGCGGATGATGCAGCGCCTTCGTCAGGAAGTCCGCCGGCTGCTCGGTGGTAGGGATGTAGTTCAGCACAAATTTCCCGCACCTCACCATGTGCTGTAGCCAGGCGTAGCGTCGCTCCATGTGCTTGAGGTTACCCGTCAGCCCCAAGCCCTCAGCGACCGTGATTGCCGACTTGTTATCGACGCGGAGGATAGTCTGCTTCCCAGCGTCGAGCAGCTTGAATTCCGCAAGGAGGAAGCGAAGTCGATGCCCCTCCTTGCCGGCGTCCGTTGCCGCCACGTACTCCGACTCGGTCGATGACAATGTCGCGCACTTGATGCGCGAGCTCGACCAGGAGACTGCGGCCCCTCCGTAGACGAACATGTGCTCGTCCGGTTCTGCTTGTCGCCCGCGTCGGCGGCATCGACGTAGCCGATCAGCTCCAACGATTCTGGTCCACCGCCAAACTCCAGGGCAGTGTTGCGGGTGTCGGCGAGGTAGGCGAGACACCGGTCGGCCTCGCGCCAATGCTGGTCACTCCTCACCGTGAGGCCGCTCCCCAGCTTGCTGCAGGCGAACGCGATGTCCGGCCTGGTCGTCGTCGCCGCGAACTGCAGCGAGCCGACCTTCTGCCGGTACTCCTCCTCGCGCTCTTTAGCCTCCTCGTCGTTGAACGTCAGCTGAGCGTAGGCGTCAACCGAGACTGGCGTCTTCGGGACTTGACCGCCCTGCTCCTCGTCGATGAAGCGCCTGCGCAGCTTGTCGGCGTAGCCCTGCTGGTGCAGCCACAGCTTCCTGGCCGGCCTGTCGCGCGAGATCTCCAACCCAAGGTACTTCACCACTGGTGAGATCTCACGTAGCTCGAAGGCGGCCTCCACCAGCTCTTTCAGTTTCTTCAGCATCGCGGTGTTGCTGCTCGCGGCGAGCAGGTCGTCGACGTAGACCAGCACCCAGCAGATCACTCCGTCGTCTCCGACCTTGAAGTAGAGTGCCTCGTCGACCTGGCTCTTCTTCCAGCCAGCGCCCAGCAGCACACCGTCGAGAGCCCTGTACCACAGCAGCGGCGACTGCTTCAGCCTGTAGAGGCTTTTCAGCAGCTTATACACCCGGCCGGTCCCGTCGTTGAAATAGTCCGGCTGGTACATGTAGAGCACCCTGTCGAGCTTGCTCTGCAGGAAAGCGTTCTTCATGTCGAGCTGCATCAGGTTGAGATCGAGGACGACGACTATGCTGAGGAAGATCCTCAGCGTGACGTAGCTGCTCACCGGGGAGTACGTCTCGTTGTAGTCAGCGCCGTACACCTGCGTGAAGCCCTTCTCGTGCTCGACGGTGTCGTCGATGCAGTAATTGGTCGTCAGCACCCATCGGTTCTTCATGATGTTCACCCCGCGTGGGCGTTCGACCAGCTCCCAAGTCCCCATGCCGATGAGACTGCGGATCTCTTCTTCCATGGCGGCCTTCACCGCCTCGCCCTTCCAGCTCGACAGCGCCTCCTTCACCGTCATCGTGGCGATGTCCCAGCGGTGTTTGGGGTCGGCATGCACATCAGGGTCAAGCTCCAGCAGATCTTCATCCTCCTCGGCATCGTCGTACAGCAGGTCGTCGTCGACCTCGTCGTACACCGTGGTGAAGGCAGCTGGCGGTAGGAAGGCATGGAAGCTCAACCGCTCCGGCGGCCGTCGAGCTCGACCTGTACGTCGCAGCTCGGGCTTCGTGATCGGCACTTCCATTACATCACTGTCGGTGGACTCCTCACCCGGCGACATCTCCCCTTTTTCGTCAATGAGAACGTCGTCGACCAGCTGCTTCGACCCTTCGACCGGCTGTTCCTCTGCTGCTGCCTTCGACAACTCTCCTGTCGACCGCTCCGGCTGCCGCTCCCCTGTCGAGTGTACCCTTGCCGATGCCTCCTGTTCGACCGGCTCCCCTGTCTGGTGCTCCCCTGTCGTCGACGGCTTCCCATCGTAGTCGACGAGCTTGGCGCCTTGTCGTCCGCCGGCGATGCCACTGGCCGGCGCCATAGGCGACGCCTCAAGGCTCCCCTCATCCTCAGTGGCCGGCACAGGTGTCGACGCAGGCAGATCGGCGACGGGAGAAGGAGGAGCAAGAATAGGGGGAGGTGGAAGAACCTCCACAACGTCTTCATCAGCAGGCTCGTCAACTTCGGCGAGCAGGGGAACCGTCGCCGTCGAGGTGTCCGTCGGTGGGTGTGCCTGCGTCCGCCCCGACGCCGGCCCATACCTCGCCATCCACACCTCCAGCGACAGCGTCTCGTAGAAGATCACCTCGACCGACGTGACCACCTTGTTGTTGGTCAGGTCGAGCACCTCCCTGCCCTTGCTCTCCGGCGACACACCCAGGTGAAGCCCCCAACGAGCCTTCGGCGCCAGCTTCCCACCGCGCTGCTGCTCAGGAACCATGAACTGCACCATGCAGCCCCACACCCGCGCTAGCGTAAGGTCGGGCCTCTGCCCGGTCAGCAGCTGGTACGGATTCGTTCCCGGCGGCGTCGTCGACCGCTCCAAGCAGTTGCACACCCAGACCGCTTGTCGTAGAGCAAGGTGCCACCAGTGATGCTGCACGCCCATGTGCTGCATCATCGTCCGCACAGACTCGACGACCGTGCGCATCTCCCGCTCAGCCATGCCATTCTGCTGCGGAGTGTAGGGGCACGTCAGGTCGTGGAGGATGCCCTTTCCGTCGACGAAGTCGGTGAACGACTTCCCGAGGAATTCCCCTCCTCGATCGGAGCGAAGCGACAGGACCGACTTCTTTGTCTGTCGTTCCACAAGCACCAGCCACTTCTCGAACTCCCGCAGCACATCGCTCTTCTTAGCGACTGGCATTGCCCACACGAATCGAGTATGGCGATCCTTCAGCAGTAGGAAGTACAAGCTGCCATCCTTGGCAGCCACCCGGAATGGCCCGCACAAGTCAATGTGCACGACAGCCAGCGCCTCCGCTGCATCCGAGCCCTTGGCGGGGAAGGTGTGCCGCGCCAGCTTTCCTCCGACGCACGAGACACATGGCGGGTATGCTCCGGTTGACGACTTGATGTTGAGCCCAGTAGCAACATCATGCTTCGCCGAGCTCTTGATCGTGTCGACGCTGAAGTGTGCAAGCCGCGCATGCATCCTATCGGGGGTCGTCTTCGTCATCGAGACGATAGTTCGCAGGGCCACCACCTCGGTCGACTGCGACGGCGTCGAGCAGGGGCGAAGGTCGGTGCAGAGGACTCGTCCGGTGTAGCGTGCTCGACTGAGCACCTCCCCAGTCGCGGCGACGAGCAGCATCTCATCACCATCGCCCTGCAGCAGCACTCCGCTCTCCTTCAGCTGGCCAGCAGACAACAGGTTTGCCTGTACGCCCGGAACGTAGAGTACGTCGGGAACGTAGAGTACGTCGGGGATGAGGACCCGCTTCTCGGCCTCCCCTTGCAGAGCGACGGTTCCGCGACCCTCGACAGGCTGCAATGCCCCGTTGAACCCACGCACGTGCTTCACCCCGTCACTCGGCCCCATGTCGACGAAGACCGACTTCGTCCCCATCAGGTGGTGGGAGCACCCGCTGTCGAGCAGCACCGCCATCGGGTTGGCCTGCACAGCTGCCGCCACTGCCTGGAAGTCCTCGCCGGCCTCCGGCGCCAGCGAGACCGTCAGCTCCACCACACCGACCATCGAGCACGACGCCTCCCCGTCGCCTCGGCTCTTGCCGCTAAAGCTGTCGACGACGTCTTCTTCGACGCTTGCTTCTCCTTGCGCGGCTTCTCAACTCGACGGGGGCGACGACTGACCGATCGTCCGCGGCCTCCCTTGTTGTCGTCCTCGTCGCTCTCATCGCGGTCGGGGCACTCGTAGGAGAGATGGTCGGGGTCGCCGCAGATCCAGCACTCCCGACGTCGACCACCACCTCGTCGACCCTTGTCCCGCGTCGACCTCTTCTCGTCGACGTCCTTCGTCGACCGCCCACCTCCGCTACCACCTTCGCCTGGCTTCCCGCGCTGCTCCTGCTGATAATTCGGCTTCGTCGGTGCAGCGTAACTCGCCTGCGGAAGGAACTCCGTGGGCTGCTCTGCCTCCTACATCGCCTCATCCTGGAGGATGTAGCTGGTAAGGGAGTCCTCGTCGAGGGAATCACGTGTGCCGGGCACCATCGTAAACCTCTTCATGAGGTTGTAGCTGCGCGGCAGGCCCTTGAGGACGTGGGTAATGTAGGACGCCGTCGAGTATTCGGCGCCCGCCATCCTCATCTCAGCTAGGATCCGTCGAGCTCGATTGCAGTAGTCCGTCGCCGACTCCTGCTCGCCCATTCGAATGTGAGTCATCTTCTCCTCTAGCTGTCCGATGTACAGGTCGTCCCTGACCTGGTACGTCGACATGATGAAGCGCCATGCCTGGTGACCAGCATCCAGTCGCTCTCGACAGCTCCTGAGTGCCACCTGCACCACCGGCGAGCAGCACCTCGAGATGACCATGAAGGTGAGCAGGTGAGCAGAACGAAACTCCCCGCGCAACCCGACATCCTCCTCGGGTGGAATTGGCACGGTGCCGTCGGTGAAGCCCTTCAGCTAGGCGACCTCCAGCTCAGGTTCGATCGACTCCCTCCATGTGATGAGGTCCCGTCGACCTTGCAGCGGAGCGACGATGATTCGGTCCGGCGAGAACTTGAAGTAGCCATACGCCGATGCAATCCCGCCCGCCATCACATGCGTCGTCACCGAGAGCCCGCCACCACTTCGTAGGGGAGAGCGACGTCGAACATCGACGTCGGCGTGCGAGCTGCCTGCAGCCGCGGTCGACCGCTGCACTCGCGCCTGGATTCCGTCAACACCACCATCTACCTTGATCACTCCTCTCTGCCTCATGCCTTCGCTGCCGCTGACTCGTGCACCACCGTCGACGCCACCTTCGTTGCGCATCGGTCGAGGAGAAGCAGGACGGGAAGGGTGTTCCGTCGCCCACTGCGACCGGATGCCCAGCTCGGCGATCACTAAGGGGATCGTCCCGTACTCGCCATCCGCGTGGTGTCTCCTTGCGTCAGCCAAACGTGCCTCCAAAGTGTCCGCTACACCCGCATCAACTACGGGGTCGACCATGGCGACTATCGCTGCTGCCGGCCTACGAACGACTTAGTAGGTGCAAAAGTCGGCTCCTATCTGAAGGTCGCGTGTTCGTTCCACGCTCACCGCACCATGCGGAGATCAATCCTACAACGGTAGTGAGCTAGACTACGGGGTTGGCACGAACTACTAGAGGTGATCGTAGCTTTGCTTGGTTCCTTAGTGCTTGCACATTCACGGGAGAAATTGGCAAGAGTTTTCACTAGCAAAGTTGGAATTCCAGAATCATTGAAGAAGCAATCACAACAATGACTACATCAGGCACCTAGCAACCCTGCAGCTAGTCTCGTCGACCGCCAGCGCAGCTCGGTCGACCGCCTGCCAGCATTGCGTAGAGGAGCCGAGCCAGCACTGCAGAAGGGCGACCTGCCAACAAAGCAGGTCGACGGCGTGCCCCGTAGAACACAGCAGTGCGCGCGCTCGCAGGTGTGCGCAGACGATTGGCCAGAATTGTCTCGTTGGGCATCCGTCGGCTGTTGTCTGCTCCTGACGAGCCACATCGACTTCGGGATACCAGTCCGAAGTCGCCTGCGCCATCGCGATCTCGACGACCTTCGCGAGCCTTCGCAGAACTCGTCGAGCAGTTTACCCGGTCGACCTGGTCGACCCTTGGTGCTCTGGTCGACCCCCAGGTGCCTCCGGTCGACCACTGGGCCCCTCTGGTCGACCACAACTCCCGTCGAGCTACCCCCTAGTCGACGGGCCCCTTCCGTCGACCAGAACTGCTCTGTCGACCTCCCGGTCGAACTGTAGGTCGACGGACTGCTTCGTCGACCTCCCGGACGGCCCACCCGTCGCACAGACCAGTCAGTTGCAGCTGTCGAGCTCCTTGGTCGACAGCAACACCACAGCGGTCCGCTGCAGCTCGACGTAACCTGTCAAGCAGCTATCCCACTGTGAACGGTCGGCTACTACTCCCGTGCATCCGACCAAGTCGTCGGCGTTGCCCAAGCGAGGGCGGGGCCAACACTCCATTCATGTTAACAGTAACAAGGCCAACGGTCTAAAGATGGATGATGAGTGTTGACATGAAGGCGTGAAGTAAGGAAAATGAGTTCCATGTTTCAAGTACATATATGCAAACAGGAAAACTCGAAGTGATGCATTGCGAGCAGAAAGGTCCATTTGTGCGCGAATTAATTCACAACTTTTTTCGCCACAGCCTTTTCGCGGTTGACAACCAGCATTGTGTGGGTGGTGGGGGGGTGTTGCGACAAGCCTCATTTGTCGAGTGGGTGACTTCGACGACAGGAGCCACCTCCATCACAAACATTGGTCCCTGCAATATGCCACAAAGTCCCATGTTGGCAAGAGCTGTACGAAAGCGAACTTCCGTTTGAGTAACTTCATTTGTTTCGCAAAAGAGCTTTCATTTCGTCTAGTTTCGCCGCCATCTGGTAGGTCAAGTGGATACTACGCTGGTGATTGAGGTTTCCCTCCACCGCGTCGCGCCAGTGGATCACATCGCGTCGCAATGTCCCTTACCACAGGCGACTTGCGAGCACCATCAGATCGGAGACGCATGTGAGGGTAGAGCAAGGCATGGAATTCTTCCCTCAACCACCCACAATGATGCTTCAAAAACGCACTCGCCTTCAGGAATCACAACCAGAACAGCCGAAGCATTACACTCACATTTGCCACTGCAGCCTCGATTTACTGAAATCCCTTATTTGTCTCATTCCTCTCCAGCTGACATCAAACATGGCACTCCCCAAGGTTTCCCTCCTCGTGCTCCTCGTAACCGCCGCTAGCGTCCTCAGCGCCTCGGGACAGACCGAGCCATACCTAGTCACCAAGGCCCGTCTGACCCGCGCAGCCGCCGTCAGCGCCACCAACGACTTCGAGAAAGCCAACGCGCTCGTCGCGCAGCGCGCTCAGGATCTCAACGCCGCCGACAAAGCCCTCGCGGACGTCGCCGCCACGTACAACGACGCGCTACCGCTCGTGAACCGTCTCAAAAACACCCTCGCGCACAAACTCGCGGCCAAGGACAAAACCGCCTCCGTGATTCCCGGCCTGCAGGAAAGCCTCGACGCCGCAAAGGCCGGCCTTGCTACGAGCACGGCGTCGGGAGCGGATCCTGCCGATCTCGCATCCGCGGTTGCAAATGCGAAGCAGCGTGCGGACATGACGGCGCAGCAGGTCGACCGGCAGAAGGAAGCCCTTCTTAGCGTTAACTCGGCCGTCACGAAATTGACGACAAAGAGTGCCGCTAATCCTAACATGACGGCCGCGGAGGCCAGTGTTGCTCAGGCTGATGAACGATAAGACTGCAATGGCGACGCTCGCGAAGCAGATTCTAGACGACATGGTCGCACAGGCGAAGAGCGCGCAGCAGGCGCTGACGAAGCTCCAGGACGCGGCGAACAGCCCTAGCGCGACGTTGGTGGACAAATCGGCGGTCGCCGCCGCGCAGGCGGCGCTGGACGCGGTGGTGAGGGCGGACAACGACGCGGCGGCGGCGGGGGCGCAGGCGACGAGCGACGTGAGCGACGCCCAGGCGTCGGTTCCGGCGCGATCAGCGGCGGTGACGAACGCGAAGATTGCGCAGAGCAAGGCTCTGGCGGCGAAGGCGAGCGCGGATAATGCTGCTGCTGCGATGAAGAGCAGGATGGACGCTGCAGTGGCTGTTGCGGAATCCGCTGAGTCTGCTGCGAAGACTGCTGGTTACTCTTGGACGTGGTAACTTGCATTCGCCGAGTTTTAGGCGCCTCAAAACTTGTTGCTGCGATGAAGTCCAAGATGAACGCTGCTGAAGCTGTTGCTGAATCTGCTGAGGTTGCTGTGAAGACTGCTAATTACACTTGGACACGATAACCTTCTCCGGAGGTAGAGAGACCTTTGAAAGTTGGAATGATAGACAAGGATGCACGGCAGGTGGGACCGCTGTGGCTAGAGATTGCATTGCGTTGCATCCCAATAAATCTTCCAATCCATTGTTCATTTGCTTTTGTTTTTTCAGTGTGTATGGCATGTACCCTGGAAGTGGAAGTTGTGGAATCTACGGTACCGCAATTTCGTTCTTTCATCTCCTCTTATCATCGCACGCAAAGCGAAAACATCTCAACTGGATGCAGAAGTGGTCATCCTATAACTGGACGAAGCAGAAGAAAAACAGCCCTGATCCAGCCATTCTGTTTTCAGGTTCTGATGATTCATAAGCTTGAGAACAGTGCATATGGTAGGGAGAATTCACTAGGGAAAATGCATAACAAGGACATGAACTAAAGCCTCTTACAGAAGCCTGCATAACCCCAACCCCCTTTTCCCTGCCCTAAAACACACATCTACTGCCAATCAAAAGCTGGAAGGTGCAGCTATGGCAACCCTTCTAGATCGCATGCTGGTTCCAGAACAAAACCTACACTCCCTTCTACACCCCAACCTCCATCTATTGCAAATCAATGCAACAAGGGGTCTTCCGATGCATGGTGGGTTTAGAGAGCGCAGGCAAGAGCTGCGCCGAGGACCAGCAGGGTGGTGAGGAGACGAGAGACAGTTGCAACAGCCCCTGTAAACGGAGAGCGGGAGGAGAAATGGGAGCAAGGAGAGGAAGGAGGGTAAGCGAATATGGCGAGGAAGCAGGGGGGGTAGATCTGTGAATTCAGGCTTATGGCAAAAAAGAGAAACGAAACGATAGCATTATCACATGATGCATGGTGTGACAAGGTGCGTGATGCAGAATGTGCCGGCGTAGACACATTGAGTTGGCTACGGTGGGTTGCACGGCCAGGAAAGGTACAGCAAAGAAAGGAGAACAACAAACGAGTAACGAGTTGATCCATGCTGCGTACCAGGCAGGGAGCCGATATTGCTCGGGAAAACAAGTGCGTTGACATAGAAATAATCCTTCTGGGCCTCCTGGATAGCTGCGACAGCAGACGAGGTACCCGCAGCAGCCCCGGACGCGAGTGGGTCGGCGCCGGAAATCTTTCCCGTGTTGCTACTGTCGCACTTGAAGTTCAAATTGTTTCCGTTGAACGCGGTCTTGATGGCGTAGCCAGTGGGGGTACACTGCCACGTCAGCGGTACACGTTTGGGAGAGGGCGAGGAGGAAGCAGAGGAGGAACACAATGAGACGACCAAAGCTGCTGGTACTACAAGTGGTGAAGAGCAAACTTGTAGTAGTAGTATCAGAAGCAGCAGCAATCAGCAATAACAGCATGTACGTTTGGGGAACACCTGGAAAGGTAATGATAGACGCACAGCACAGCACAACAACCGAATCCAATCCAATCCAATCCAATCGAACCCGCAGCAAGAAAGCGGGACGTTGCACAAGCCGCGGCGCGGCGTACCGTACCTGGCCATCGAGGTTCACAACGGTAACCTTCGGTTCGGCGGTGTGGAACGACATGAGGTTCAGCAGAGCAGTCCGCGCGGCTTCCGACATCGGCGGCGGCTTGGTCGTCTTCGCGTTGCACGCCTTCGCCTTGGCGGCGAGCGTCGCGAGGTCCTTCGTCGTGGTCGTTCGCTTCGCGCGATCCAGCGACTCCTTCACCTTGTTACCGCTCGCCACCGCGTCCAACGCCTCGTACAGCGCGCCGCTGCTGCGCGACTTCTTGTACCCGGCGAGCGCGTCGGCCCACGCCTGATTCGTCGGCAGAAAGATGGTCTTCCCGTTCGGGAATTTGCACGCGGCGTTCGCGAGGTAATACAGCACGTCGAACGACTTGGATACGTCCGCGAACTTTATGGTGCTTGCGAGTTTCATCGCCTTGAGAGGGCCGGCGGGCGGCGCGCCGGACGGCGAGGCGGCAGCAATGACTTCTTCCAGCGTATAATCCTGCATGTAGTCGTCATCGTAATACGTGTCCGAGTCGGGTGGGGTGTTTGAACCGCCGGGCGCGGGCTTCGATCCGGGCGCGGGCGATGAGCCGGGCGCGGGCTGCGCGGGCGTTGAGCCGGGCGCGGGCTGTGCGGGCGTTGAGCCGGGCGCGGGCGTTGAGCCGGGCGCGGGCGTTGAACCGGGCGCGGGCACTGCGGGCGTTGAGCCGGGCGCGGGCTGCGCGGGTGTTGAACCAGGCGCGGGCTGCGCGGGTGTTGAACCGGGCGCGGACTCCGATCCTGGTGCGGCATCCGACCCGGGTGCGGCTTGCAGAGCCCGTCGACTCGCAACCACCATGGTATCCGCGGGGTTCGCGGTGGCGAGCGCCGGAAGCGTGGCGCCGGTTGCAAGGAGCAGGAGCGCGGCGCAGGCCACGAGGAAGACGAAGCGCGCCGGAGTCGCGCCGGGGTGAGCGGCGGCGGCGGCGGCCCACGATGGCAGAGTAGCGCGGGGAGCCATGACCGAGCGTCGGCGGTGCTGAGAAGTCAAATGTGCCGTGCCACCGCGAGCGGCGGTGCTGGGGGTACTGAGGGAAAAGGTCAACCCCTCTTGGCCAACAGGAAGTAGTATAGTAAAAGGTGGTCACTGAGGAGAAACGCCGCGGTAGTCTGCCACGCTGGGTCTTGAGGGGCGTTCAACGTTTGACTCAAATGGAAAAGGATAGTTGCTGCTCTGCTCGCTCGTCGGCAGGTTAAGTAGTAAAGGAGCAGCAGCACGGGTTACGGCCGTGACCGGAACCCAGCGCTGCGCGGCGCAGTTATCTCCCGCCTCCTCCCGTCCCGTGCTCCCCTGCCAGTTTCCGCCTGCAGAGGCCCTCCGGGCTGTGCGCGCCTGCCATCTGCGCGCATCTCCCTTTTAAGTCAACTCAAAAGTCTTTCCGTCTGCGCAGGCCCTCTGCGGGCTGTGCGCCTGCCATCTGCGCGCATCTCCCTTCCCGTGCGCCGTGCGCCGTGGCGGAGGTTCATTCGTATCATCGTAGCACGACAATTATTCGTATCGTGTGGTATCAGTTGATGGACAAGGGAGCACCGCAACGCCGTACCTCGGTTTGATTATTTTCCCCGTCAAATGCGCCGTGCCAACACGGTGCAATAAATTGACAACAATAATCTGATGCTCAAGCGGAAACACGCGGTCCGCGCGGACACCCCCGATTTCAAGCGGAATACTCGACTTTAGAACGCGGAATACTCGACTTTAGAACGCGGAATGCTCGACTTTAGAACGCGGAATACTCGACTTTAGAACGCAGAAGCGGTACTTGAGTCAGCTACAGCGGCAGTTGTCTTCTACGAGTTGACCTAAGGCGACTGCGTGGAACCTCGTGGAACCTCCATACTACCACTACTGACATGAGGAAAATCTGCCGTGGCGTGGCCTTGTTTTAGAATCGTGATCTGGCGTTTGCTGCTGCCTGATTGGTGAAGTGTCTTGTTGGTGTATTCTGGGCGTGTGATGTGAAGCCACACACGATCGAGTTGGGCTGAAGCCCTGTTCGGCTGCACGAAAATACGGTCACAACCAAACAATTACCAACATAAACAGAACCAACCAACCAGTATTGAGGCTCGGCAGTTCTGCTGACTCATGGTGACGTGTAAAAATCCCCTACGTTTGGTCGCAGGTCCGAACGTCTTTCCTAACCAGTTTCGTATTTGTTTTAGGTTTGTTGTTGGTTCCATGACAGCCCAGCAGAGCCAACCAGCAAAAAGTGCACAGTACTTCACGGGCAAAATGATGTTCATTGCTGTTGGTTTTTGGTTGGGTCCTGATCCTGCTTTCAACGTGGGTGGGGGGGACGGGTTTAGTTCACTGTGAGCTTTATGCAGACAGCTGATTGGCTAGATCACGATTTGTGCGCTTTCCAGGATACTTTGACCCAGGTTCCTCGAAGCAAGGAACAGGTGGTTGTGTTTGTTAGGTTAGAAATGTGCTGTCATGGTTGTTGACTTTTGCGGGCAACATGCAAGAGCAGGCCCGCGTTTGCGTGTCTGGTTGCACAGCTGAATGGGTAGAACAAAAAACCACGTTGGTTTTGTTTTTTAGTTGGCCGAGCTTCGGTCCGAGGCTGTCTTGTCGTTCAGGTTCGTTGAGTTGTTGGTCAGATGTGCTTGGCAACCAAAGTGCTGCCGAACAAAGCCTGAGTTGAGTTACACCCAGCCCAACCCACAATTATTCCAACTGGGAGGAGCCGGGGCGCGTCCTTGTCGTTTTTCTGTGGGGTTGAAATTGGAGGGAACAAAGTAACTTCCCGCAATTTCAACATTGTCAGATGGATCTTTCCAGGCTGAGTCAGCGTGTTCGAACATTGCTGACAGTGATTAAAACTCCAAACGCGTACAGAGGCGCAAAATCCACTGCAAACAGAAATAGCAGTGCGACACTGTAGATGTTTGGAAATAGTGCACATCAGTAAACCACAATAAAAAACGCAAGATTGATAATTGCATTATTTACAAAACAAACTTAAAGGAATCAGATCTATGTCATGTAGGGATGCAATGAAATAATAATAATGAGGTTGAAAAAAAACCCGGGTAAAGACCCGAAACACTAATATAACTCAACTCGCTACTTAAGAATGTCCAGAGAATGTCCATCAAGCTCCAAGGTAGCTAGCTGTACAGCTAGACGTTCTCTGGACATTCTTTTAGCGAGTTGAGTTTCAAGCTGGACATTCTCTGACAAAAGGCGGGAATGGTTGGTTCAGAGCAGTTCTCTTCCCACATCGCGACACTATCGTGACGCGATCTGCGTTATCTAAAATTTCGCCGGCACAATCTGCGATTCTTCAAATCGCCGGCTTAGGCCGAGTCGCCGACAAATTTTCACATCCCGATTCCGAAGCGCCTCTGTTT